GGGAAATCTTTCAAGAAACATGTGAAGTTTTCAAAGCCAAAGGGAAGAGAAAAATGACACTCGAACCTGATTAGAGAATTCTGATTTGCTTCCTTTCCTTTGTAACCAGAACACAAACTTTGTGTGACATCTGGGAACTGCGAGGTACTGAGGTCTGCAATTTAAAAGTAAAAGCAACTGTTGAACCAGTGGGTTGCTGTAATGCAGATCAAGGCAAAAGAGAAAAAAAGAAAGAAAGAAAGAAAAAAGAAAGGGAGGGGGAGCCTGATTCAACTCTGTGACTCATTCAGTGATAAGAACACTGTCGGATCAGTCTCTCCCGGTTCCACCCCTGACCAAACCACCAAACTTCAGCTGATCCTTCTCGCAGCCTCCCACATCATCTCCCCTCAGACATTCTTGCTCACACTGTAGACAGACAGGCTAAGTCAGATCTGCTCACTTTTCGGTTTAAAATCCTCCAGGGTAATTAAATAAAACGTACTTTGAGTCAAACCCATACGTCATAACATGGGCCTGGCTATCTCCCTGACCCCATTCCCACCATTTCCTCTGAACGCCTGACTGCAACGTGCACCCACCTTGCTGCTCCTTTCGAGATGGCCTTGATGTTCCCTCTGCCAGGAAGTTCTCCAGACCTTCACTGGGATGCCTCTTTCTTCTTGTTCAGAACATCCTTAGAGAGGCCTTCCTTGGCCATCCAACGTAAAGTAGCCCCAGTCACTTGCTGTCGTATCACCGTATCTTGTTTTTCTCATGACAATGTCACTACTGGAAGTGATCTTATGGGTGTGCTTGTTTATAATCCATTGTGTTTTCACTCTCTAGAATGTAAATTCAATGTCTCTGAGTGTCCTCAAAGTACGCAATAATGACAGGCAGAAAGTAGGCACTTGAACATTTCAGTAAAAATGAATGTAATTAAGATAACCAGCATATAAGTGGATGTTCTAAAAATTGTGAGAACAGATGATCGTCTGTTGATTAAAAAGATAAATTATGTATTATCTTTTTTATCACAATACTATAGAGGAGCTTTAAAAAAATATCCAGCCCTGGCTGATGTGGCTCAGGGGATTGAGCCCCAGCCTGTGAACCAAACGGTTACAGATTGGATTCCCAGTCAGGGCACATGCCTGGGTTGCAGTCAGGTCCCCAGCAGGGGGCACACAAGAGACAACTACACACTGATGTTTCTCTCCCTCCCTTCTCCTCTTAAAAAAAAAAATAAAGTCTTTTAAAAAAAATACTCAGAAGTGTCACAAAATGTTCCTCTTGTCCACCCCTAAATCTTCATTGACTTTGTTTTCCAGATTCCTAAAAAATTTTAGTTTTCCTCAACTTGAATCATTAATTCCATGGGAATGACTGTTAAGTCTGTAATTCTAGCCATGGCCCCTCTCTCCCCTGAACTGTGGCCTGCATTTATATATGGCAACACTTCTACTTCAGTTTCTGCCATTGTGTCAAATCTAGCATAGGAAACCTGAAATGAGTATCTCTCATTTAAAATCAGTTTCTCCTTGTATCCTTAATACTTTTCTCACATATCCTCCAGACACCCAGATTTAAAAGCTAGAAATTATCTTGATTATGTAACCCAAGACCTGGAAGGAAGATTGGAAAACATCAAGTGAAGTGGTCTTCAAGACTTTTTAAAACTGTGGTAGCCTTTTTCAATTAAAAGCTCACAGGGAAGTCCGATATGTAAAACAGATGAATTTGCAGTTGTTCCCAGAGTTACACCGGTGGTCTCTGAAGAAAAACTTCAAAACGAACCCCTAATCTGGTCCAAACTTCCCTTTCTCCCCACCCCCTTCAATACACAGGCAGAAAGTTATAGAGGAGAAAAAATTAAGTCTCAAGAACTTAAATCTTCTTCGCAGGTAGAAATAATTAGTCTGCCCAAGATTACACAGTACTCCAAACATAAAAGCACTTAGAAATCAGTGTTCTAAAAGACATAGTACCTCCACACACACATAACGAATGATGACCAGTTATTGCAGATTGATAAATTTCATAAATGACTTTTACTGGTTGGCATGAGAAGAAATCTTTAGCATTTAGATAATAATTGTTAGCCTCTAATAACAGATTTATCCACCTCTAGTGAAAGAAAGCAAATATGCATCCTGTGAAAAGAAGTGTGGCCCAGTAAAAAACAGCACAAGGTCTCAGCTCCATAGCCCATGTATCTTCAGTCTCTTTCTGAGCACGGTTTTCAAACTCTTTGGGCTTCACCCACTTCATCTTTAATATTAATGTATGTGATAAGGTGCTTTCTAAGACTCTTCTCATCCCGAGGTCTGTGATCTGTGATTACTCCATGCTAAAGTATTTCCCTTAAGCTACTACAACTACAAAGAATTAACATCACAAGTCAGAGACAAATTGGAAGAGGACAAATCATCCTTGAAAGGTTTTTTGAGTATCATATGCCAGGTACTCAGCTGGGTCTCCTAAATTCAGAGAAAAAAAGAAAAGGAATACTATCCCAGCTCAACAAGAAACATACCGCAGTGAGGAAGAACCACACAAGTAATTACACAGTAGAGAGGTGAATGCTGAGAGAGGTGAGTTCAGAAGGATAACAGGCAGCCATAAGAGGGCTTATGAAAACCAAGAAAGGCTTTGTTAGGTTGGAGTAGGAGACAACTGACTTTATATTCAGATGATAAACATGGGTTGAGTGCTGAGGAAGAGTGGAGGTTGCTCTATGTACCAAAAGATACCATATTTTAAGTTGCCTTATAAACAAATAATAAAATCAGCATTTACTCTAACAAAAATAATTTATCAGGCCATTTCACACACAGTGTTCCAAGTGTACGTGAAAAATATTAAGTCAATCATCTTTTACTATACGTTATTTAATGACTGGAACATTTTGAGGGACTTATTGTATGTGAACATGCCATGAGTAGAGGCAGCACGTCACTCGGGGACACAATGGAACAGGGAGTTTCAGACAGCCCTGCCTGGGCCAAGGGCTGCGCGGCACCTGGCGGACAAGGTGGCAAAGCCCCCATAAAGGGTGATGATTCACTAACGTGACATAAATCAAGATTTTAACTCACCCAAAACTAACATTTTGATTTAAAATCACAAATCAGTGCCATTAAAATTCATCAGTGGACCCCAGCACATGAGTAATGAGATCATATCAACTTATATCTTGTGAGCAAAGGGAAAAGGTGGTTTTCTAAATGGTAATTCAGATTGGACAAATAACGCACTGTATCAAGTTCTGCAGCCCTGGGCCATATTTGGCTAAAAACAAAGGTACATTATGCATGACTAAAGAAAACAGTGAAAATCAGAGCAATTAATTTCCCAGTTATGTTTCCCATAAAAAAACCATCCGTACTATGATTTGCTTACAGCACACAACCCTATTTTTTGCATCGCACAATGATCTAAGTGTATAATAACGTGCATATTTCACTAAGATGTAATATCCTTCAAAACATCCTTATAGTGAAAGTTTTCCAAAGAAAGTATTGATCTCTGGAATGTCTCATGTTTTAAAATTACTGACAAATCCTTTCCTATTTTCTTTGCAGTTAGAATAATTCTTCTTGATCACCAGAGTGTAAAGAGGTGTAAGAATACAAAGACTGACTATTTATATATACTGACTGACAGTATATATATATATATATACTGATGCCAACTCATATATATATATATATATATATATATATATATATATGAGTTGGCATCAGTTTAATATAGCAAGAAATTTCCATAAGTGCTTTTTAAAATTATTTTCAAATACTTTCTAGCTTAGTCCTCTTCATTAGTGCTGGTGCCTTTTGTGCTTTTGTCCGGAATTCGGGAATCTTTTCTCAGGTGGTTGTGCTTCACTGCAGGTAGGCTTGGTACATTCTCTTTACATGTTTAGGGGCAATTAAGCAGCTCTTTTCTGTTTTCTCTCACTGACACCTTTGTGGCTGCTCAGGCACTGATCTCACCTTGGAGATCAGTGACCAGAGCAATTCCTAACAACTCAAGGAAACCACGGTATTCCCATTCTATAGAAAACAAATACGAAGGCCCCCAAATCCACCTGGAGTGGCGACTCAAAAGGGGTAAAACACGGCACCAGACAACTTCCGGAGGATCGTCTCTTAATGTCTGAAACCCTAACACTGCAAGGGACAGACAGACCTAAACGGGTACAAGTAGACTGAGGGGGCAGAAAGCTAGAGACAGGAGAGAGACAATGAGGCGAGAAGCAGAGAGTCAGCGTCTAAACGAGTGGGTCCGAGAGTGTGGGAGACGGGGATACACAGAGAGAGGGGGACGGTGAGCCAGCGGGAGACAGACAAACGGACCCAGGGAGAACGGGTCAGAGTGGGGGCGGGGGTGAAAAGACAGAGAGAACAGAGGAAAAAAACAGAAAAGAAAAGAAAAAAAAACACTGGGAGTGTGACAGAGAGAAACAGACGAAGGGGAAGGGACAGGCTGCAGGAGCAGAAAGCGAGCCCAGCCCGGACCCGGACCACCCCGCTGTGCGCGTTCTGCGCCTTCAAGGCTGGGTCCCGGAGGCTTCCGAGGCAGGTGGCTCCGCTGGACCTGGGAGCCTGCGGGCTCGGTGCCTCCCCGGAGGCGGGCTCCCTGCCGTGTCCCCGATTCCGATTCCCGGGCTGCGCTTCGCTGGCCCTCCCGCCCCATCTCCGGGCCAGCGAGTGCCGACTCCCCAACTCCAGAGCACGTGTCCCCCAGCCGGCTCTTCGCCCGCTCCGGCGCGAGCTCTCGGGGTCCGGGCAGGGCTGCCTTCGCACAAAGCCCCGGCGGCGCCCCCGACCCCTCCACGCAGCCACCCGGCTGTGGCTGCTAGTTCCTCCGCCCCCTGAGCGCCCACGCCTGTAGGGGCAATGCCACCGAGCCCCACGCTGCCCGCTCGCACCCTGCACCGCCCCCTCTGCCCGCTCAGCTCCCGCAGCTAGACCGGCTCCCGCACGCGGGAACTGCCGCAGCCTTGCCTGCCTCACCTTACCCTCCGCTGCGCTCCGCTCCGGCACCGTGGTCCTCCTCCGAGCACCGCAGACCTCGCCGTCCAGAACCCGGCTCCCGCGCAGGCCCCGAGCCAACTCAGCGCCCCGCTCCGACCACAGCGACCATCAACTTCTGGCTGCAGTGGCCGCTCTGCCGCCGCCTCCGGACTTTTTTTCCCTCTGCAACTCGGCTGCCTCAGGAATTTTTTTTTTTTTAACTTGCCCTCTCCAGCTCCCACTAGTGATTGGAGACTGAGAGCCAAGTACTTAGAGGAGGGATTATACTTCTCGACGTACTTGGACAGCCCAGCGGAGTTGTCTGTGTGAGAAAGGGTGCAGAGACCTGGGGTGGCCTGAGGGCATTGCGCAGTCCCCAGCCCTGGATCAGCGGTAGACTTTCCAAGTGTAGTCAGCTTCACAGAGCACCACCTCCATTTCCATCATAGATCCTCCCTTCAAGTTAATGTGCAGGAAAAGGTTTTATTAAAAACTGGGTCTAAAGAACAAAGATTCTACTGCACAATGAGAGCGGGAAGGGCGTCCCAAAGATGACCTCGTGTTAGGGGACTGAAGCTTTTCATGGCCATTAACACCGGAGAAGTTGATGAAACGTTGACACGCCTCAAAAAAATACTTATGTACATCAAATTATGTCTGCAGTTCTGAACGAGGAGTTTAGGAACCCTGAAATATATAGCTGGGGCTCTTCATAAAATGAGAATTTCCTTTCTTGAAATATCTTGAAACTGTTAAAAAAAACATACAAGCAAATAAAAACAAAAAATTCCTTCCACTTGTATTTAATGAAATTTTACAATTAGTAATGTTTACTTTGGAAAAGTATATAACGTCTTTACTTTGTGGTCTCCTCGCTAAATCTAAGTGTTGAAACATTTTCTAAGAAAGTGAATATAAATTAACCTAGTCCGCAATCGTTCAAAAAACTTGGGAAGAAGAGCTAGCTCGCCTTTTAAAATCAGCCATTGGCCAACGCTATCTCCCAGGGAGAGAACTAATGACTTTCAAATAATTTTTTCCTCCCAGTGCCTCTCAGCCGCCTATCTTCCAGAATTAATTTCCTCCTTTTGTAAAATTTTGCCATCTTCCATATTAATAAACCTCTCTAGTCACCATCAAGCATGCGATTTAAATAATACAATTTCACTCTGACATAGCTTTTTTCCATTTTTCTTCACATTTATTTCTATTGTCTACTTACTTCTTAGCCTACCGTTTTCTTTCAACTCCTCCCTTTTCTTAGACTATTTGCATTAAATCTTTTTTATATTAGACATTAAATATAATCCTTGGAACTTGTAAATATGAAAATAAAGTCAATTGTGTATAAATTTATTTCACTCAGCTCCCACTTAGAAGCACGTGGTAGTCCAGGCATTTATGAAGAGTCAGTGAAATGTGGGCACTTTTTTATCATCGAAGAAATGTTAAGGTCCCCATGAAAGTTCATTTGCCCCATAATGTATCTGAACTGTATTATTAAGACTAATTTGCATGCTGCTTCCTGATGCCAGACTGGAACAAAAAAGTTCTATTTAACTTAACACTAGAAAATTTTCAAAAAGTACCATTTGTCATTGGTGTCATCTTACCACCCTTGCACAACCTTCATTCTAGTCCCTAGTACCAGCACTCATCTTTCTGTCCCAAGAATGCTAAGGAAGAATCCACCCATTTTACCCTCACCCTAAGTCCTCTCTGCTCCCTATTTACCTTTGTTCTGGTCCTCAGTAAAATTTTCTATCATTTCCATCCTCTAATATGAACTAGCTTTAAAGAGAACAGAAACTTGATTAAATGGATCCCTTCCTATTGCATGAGTTACGGATAACTTTAATTTATATTATATTTTTATGTATTTTTTCCTCTTAGAATTTCAGTCCTCACAATCTTCAGTGAAATAAATCTGATGTTATGGAAAAAGTTTTGGAAGAGAGAGTATTTGAGTTACCCATATCTTTTTAGAAGCTGTACTAAAGATTAGTTATCCTTGTCTTAATTCTATTCATCAAATATCCCAAGTATCTATGGCACATGAGACACTGATCCAGGGAAGACACAGAGATTCCATTTCAACTGACTTACAAAAAAAGTATGTAAGATTTTTTTAATGATAAGATATTTTAAGAAATCCAGATCAAAGGAAAGAAATTTCCATAGATTTTTATTTTTTTTTAAGCATTTGGGTGGAAGAGAATCAGGGATGGCACCACTAATGAAACTGTGTTTGAGTTGGGCCTTAGAAAGCAGCATTTCAATAGGTGGGGATAGGGAATCTGGGGAATAAGCCGTTGAACAATCAATATGTATCACCTATGGCATGCCACTTACTCATGCTTGAGATTCAAACCCTGTCCATTGCTTCTCAGGAAAAGAGACTATATATATATATATAGTCTATGTATATAGTCTATATAGACTATGTATATAGACTATGTATATAGACTATGTATATAGACTATATATATATAGACTATATATATAGACTATACATATGTATATAGACTATATATATATATATATAGTCTATATACATAGACTAGAGACTATATAGTCTATATACATAGACATAGAGACTATATATATATATATATATATATATATACATACATACACACACACACACACATTTTTTAATTAGAAAACTTTCTGAGAAGTACAGTAATCAACACATGAGCGCACAACGATTGGAGCACGGAAAGTAAAACTGCTCTGCCTGAGAGTGTCAGGAAAAAATACAGAGCGGTCACATTTTATCAGGGTCCTGAAAGATCTTCAGAGAACAAGGGCCATTAGAAAGAGAACAAGCTGCCTAAGTGGAAGGAGTTGTGTGAGACAACACAGTACGTTACGGAGAGCTGGTGGCTCAGAGCTGCTTCCCGAGCCACATACAGCAAGTACAGCAGATGACTCTCAGGCTAAGCAGGGTTCGGGAGTGACCTTGTCAGATGTGCTAATGAAATTCATTTTTCAGTGTTAGGCGACAGGGAGCATTAGAGATTTTTAAAGCAAGGAGTTAAATGGTGGATTGGGATTTTCAGAACATCATTTTGAGGTACCTCGAGAGGGAGAAATGGAAGACCCATTAGGAGTCTTTCATGTAAAGAGTAAAAATCTGAACCAAGGTAGTGATAAGGCCTATCAAGATCACTAGGGGACTTGAAAGCCACTTCAGAGTTGTTGAAGCTGATTCCCTGCTTTGCAACCTGGAATGGTGGTGCTTTTAAATGCAATAGGACCACTGGGGAAGGAGCTACTGAGGAGGAGAAGAGAGAAGGGCTCAGTTCTGTGGCCTGACAAATTGGGGTAAAAGCACAATTTCTTTTTTTTATCCAATTGTAAAAGTGAATCAGCTAAAAGTTCAAAGCATTGCAGAAGAGGACACCTGGGCAGCAACAGAAAAGACTGAAGAGTACATTCACAGGCGTATTTCTTATCAAGGAAGATATTTGCCCAACTCTGCTAGACTCAGACTATTTTGGTAATTCACATGAAGTGACCTGAGAAACAAAGTAATGGTGTGGTGAGCTGGCTTCTGTGCTTGCCGCTTCCCCTTTCCTCCCACTGTTTCTTCTCCATGGCTGTCCTTACTCCCACGTCTTCCCCTTTTGTGTCTATCCCTCTTGCAAAACTAAAGAAGTTCTGATAACCATTAATATCTTATTATAAATCAAGGTGTACTTTGTTAAGTAACATTCTAGACCATGTGCTTTTAAATCATTCTCTGTAAATGTTGAATAAAAGAGTGTCTTTTTCTGAGATATTCCTGGAGTCAGGGGAAGGAAATATTTCAGTAGAAGGAAGAAATCTTTTCTCTTTCTCCCCAATTCATACTGCTGTGGTGTTTCCCCACTGCTAATGCATTGACTCTACATACATAAAGTAAGAGATCAAACCTCTCAATAACTGAAGTATTTAAATCTTCACTAGTTAAGAATGTATAAGTACTAGTGAAATGTGTAGCTTCTCTAATAGAAGCCAAATTTACTGAGTAATTACCACGCACTAGGCCTACTACAAAGCATTTTGCAAATGCTAATACATTGAAGCCTCATAGTAGAGTAGATATTATTTTATTTCAATTTTTCAGATCAGGAAACTGAGGCACAGAAAAGTTAGACAACATCGTGCTCAAGACCATGCTACAAAGTGGAAGAGACAGGTATGAACCTCGGCAGTGTGGCTACAGCACCTCAGCTTTGGTCAGTGTACTGAACCACTCCATAGCAGTGAGAACATTTTAAGTATCTAATGAACAGACACTAGCCAAAAAAAAAAAAACCCATAACAATCTTGAACATAAGATAATATATGACCCCAATCCTTAAAAGTCAAAATACTTGAGTCCTTTATAGTTTGTTAAACAGTTTCCTGAGCTCTTGGAAAGCTAGCAACTGGTGGGGATGGAGGGAACTGTTAATGCTAGGAACATGGGGCAATTGGGGTGTGGCTTTTAAAATTCCCCTCCCTGGGTCAGAATTCAATGTCTTTGGTGAGGTCCTTTGCCCAGCTGCAAACTACTTGAGGATCCCTTCCCTGTCTTTTACTATTCTCTTAATTACATTTTTTAACACGACTTTTTAACCACTTTAGCTAGATAGAAATGGGTGAGTTTAGGTCAAAATCAGATTTTTTTCATGCTGCATAGCAAACAACATTATAAAGCAGGGAGATTACCATCACAAACATTCAAGCAAAGGCATAGATGGGACACTATGCAAGGGGTTCCCTATGGTGGGTGGGCTGGCTGACCAAAATCTCTAAGACCCTATTCTATATTGTGAATATATATTTAATATCATTAATGTGGATAATTTAAGATATTAATATAAATAACAACATAAATATAATTTTAAATAATTCATATAGATGTTAGTATTAATATGGTATTAAATAACTTTAATATTAATATGAATAACTATTGCTGAAAATTGACTTGGTACATAACATGTAAATGATTATCTCACAATTAAAATACACCTCAAATTACTCCCATGCTTATGTCCTAAAACTTCTATTTTTTGCTATTATTTTTATTTAATTTTAGATCAAGTGACTATGATTGCACACAGGAAAAAACACGCAGATTCTAGTTCTACAACAAATTAATTTTGTCC